TGTAAAACATTTACAAAACCTATTTTTATTTTACAGAAAAGAGCTGTAAGAATTATCACCAGAAAGCATTACAGTCACCCATCAAGCACATTATTTTATCAACTGAACTTATTGAAGTTCCATGATTTGGTAGATTATAGTATTTTATCAGTTATGTATAGGGCTCAAAATAACACATTACCATTAAATATCCAAAGAAATTTAGTTAAAAGACAAAGTTGTTATAATCTTAAGGAGATAGAGATATTTGTCAAACCAAAGTTCAGAACTAGTCTGAAGGGAAGGTCTACCTCAATCCAAGGAGTTGGATTGTGGAATGATCTAGAGAGTGATGTGAAAAATGCCAAGTCAATGTGTACATTTAAGAAAAAGATCAAATCTAGATTGTTAAAAAAATATATATGAAGTAGCTTAGTGTGTGTTTTGTATTAGAATTAGAAAAATTAGAAAGAGTTATTCATTTTATTCTGTTACTTGAAGATTATTATGTCTGAAATAATTGTTTGAAAAAAAGGGCAGATATAATAAGATTTTTTCTTCTTTCTGCTGCCTTTCATTTTAAATCTTTTGTATCTTTCTTTATATTGTTATGGAATTGTTTTGTACCTTTTTAAAATGAATAAACTTTATACCATACCATACCATACCATTTGTACTGAATGTCTCACTGAGGTCTAGAACAGAACAAGGAACCACTCTGGGAGGACTGGACTCTACAAGTCTTCATGCTCAACTTTCATTTTCCTAAGAACAGATGTTTTTGTTTGGTCATTCACATTCTAATTTAAATGTGTCCCTCAATAGACGACAGCGGGAATGGTCTGCAGCCCTGAAGGGACATTTGTCACCGTTTGCAACCAAAATGTTAGTTGACTTCGGCCACAAGTCAAGTCAAGTCAAGTCAAGTCAACTTTATTTATAGAGCATATTTAAAACAGAACCTGTTATCAAAGTGCTTAACAACAACAACAGCAATCAATGGGAGTAAAATTAAAGAGAAAAAATACAATACACTAATAATAATAACGGAAGAATTAATAAAAAGCATTTAAAACACAGGGTCACAGAACAAAAAACACTAGATCAATTTACACTGTATGAAATGCCTGAGACAACAGATGAGTTTTAAGCAGGGATTTGAAGTGAGGAAGGGAGGTGGCCTGCCTGATGTTGGGGGGCAGGTTGTTCCAGAGTTTGGGACCCATGATTGAAAAAGCCCGATCTCCTCTGAGCTTCTTGTTTTTGGAACAGCCAAAAGCAGCTGATCAGATGATCTCAGGACCCAAGAGGGAACGTAAGCTTCCAGAAGCTCAGAGAGGTAAAGGGGTGCGAGGCCAATTAAGTATTTGAAGGTCAACAGAAGAATTTTAAAGACTATCCTCGTGCGAACAGGGAGCCAGTGAAGGGAGGACAGAACTGGTGTAATATGTTCAGACCTACGAGATCCAGTTAAAAGCCGAGCAGCAGCATTCTGGATGAGCTGAAGATGTGAAATGGAGGCCTGGCTGATCCCAGCATACAGTACATTGCAATAGTCCAATCGGGTCGTGACAAAGGCGTGGATTAGTTTCTCAAGGTCGGGTCTGGACAACACTGTCAAACTTGGTCAGAGTCTAAAACCATCCCGAGATTTTTACCAGACTGCTTAAGATATGGCTGCAGAGAGTCCAGGTTGACAGGATCAATGGCGGCAGTTGAACTAGGGCTAAAGGCAATGACTTCAGTCTTCTCATCGTTAAAACTTAAGAAATTTGAAGCCATCCAGGCCTTAAGGCCACAAGTATTGCCATCTGAGACAGGGTTTATTCTGCAAACAGGTCTCACTAGTAAGAGTCCCCAATGCTCATTATGATTACTCTGTCTAAATAAAGGTTGAATGAATGAATGAATAGTCTACAGCCATATGGTTCATCGTGTTTGGCCACAAAGTTCGACATGAGTAAGATGTGAGTAAATGTGAGTAAGGTTGTGACTAAGAAGTGCGACTTCAGTAAAAACTTGAAGCATCCAAAAAGTGTGGAGTGTTTTCATTCTAAACTTTGAAGACAGGTCATAATTGTAATATTTGTCTTTTTATCTGTTTAATATTATTGAGGTTTGTGAAGAAAACGCTGAACGTTTTATTTCCACACAACGCCAACCTCATATTGTTGCTGACGTGGGTTTGGATCCGAGCGGTTCCGTCCCTCCAGTATTTCAGTTTTTAGGCAGTAAATTATATAAAATTAGCATTTTATTCCAACATCCATTTGTAAACCTGCCTTCACGTGCACATTCTCACCAAGGACGGCAAGTTCTGCCTGTGCTGTGATGTTCTGGTTCTTATTGGTGGCGGTGCAGATGTAGGTGCCGGAGTCATCGTCGGTGATGGTTCTGATGATCAGGTTACTGCCTGCCAGCAGAGAGAACTTCTTGTTCCTGCAGAACAACAAAGACAGGTCGACTCAGGTCATCTCTGCATGTCCAGAATGCAAAGCTTCATTCTGAACGAGGCCCTGTTCAACATCAGGAATGAACACTAAAGATCGGATCAGCCAGGGCAAGATATTTTTAAAAACTGGAGGTTCTGGTTCTGAACTAACAGGAGGACGAACCAGCTCTGGATGACTTCATCTCCTCTCCTCCACTGGATGCTTGGGGTCGGGTACCCCGAGGCGGAACATTCCAGCACGGCGTCCGTTCCCAGCGGGGCCGATACTCTGGTCGGACGCTGGAGGAACTGGAGGTTCCGGATCACGCCAGGTTCTGGAATTAAAAACAGGGAGAGGGAGAAGAAAATAAAGCTTCAAAATAAACCCCCCCTTTTGCTGTCAATCAGAACTAAGGTGTCTCCTGTTTTATTTAATGAACCCAAAATTATTTAATCTAGTATTAGCCACTACATTTTGGTGTCCAACGTAGTATGAGTCTTTGGGAAACTTCTGGTCTTCTCTTCTACAGCTTGAATTCAAGATTTTGGGCCCATATTCAAGATAATTATGATTTTTTTTAAATAAAAGATTCTTGTTCACGTCTGCTGCTGAGGTGACCGGACCCCAGGCTTTTAACCAGGCACTGTTGTTCCTGTATTGATAGCAAAAAAAACTTTAAATCTGTCGACAGATTGCAGCTGAAAAAATTACAAGTGAAATCTAAAAATAGTAATGCATTGTGCAGTGTAAGCGAACGGCAACAATTTTGTGAAACTGGGAAAAAAGTCTGCTGTGATAAAAAAAAGGCCTAGAGTACAGAAAAGCAGTTTCCGAAGAGAGAGCAATGAGTTGCTGATTTTGTGCCAGACAAGAGGTTCTAGAATTTAGGACAAGAAGGTCCGTGTGTTTTTTGAGATGACTAAGAGAGTCGTTCTTTATTGTGTTATGATTTTTTAAGATGACAGAGACGTCTATTGTGTCGGATCCCAGAAGGCATGTAAAAGTGTTTCTGAAGAGCTTAAGCTATATTGATTATGTTGTGTATGGGTGTGAAGTGGTTGTAGGCCTGAAGTAAATAAATAAAATAAATAAATACGATACATAATTTTATATACTAATAGTTGAAGTTTTAAACTTAAAAAATAATAATAATAGCTTTTTCTCTGCGGTTCTGCTGATCATTTACACAACACCAGTGGCCCCCCTCTTTGAATCTGGAGGTTTCTGAATCCACCTTCCAGAGTGGAGGTTTTTCGCTGACCGCCCGTTGATAATTTAAACATCTCCCGCTGAGGCTTTGTGTTAACCACATGCGCACACGCGCGCACAGACAGACCTATATTTCTATCAACATGGCGCAGACACACTGCTTTCAGAACTACGACTGATGGAATATATTTTTAATCTCGTAGTTAATCTACGTCAGATTCCAGGTGCTGTGACCAACATCTGTGTTGGAAGAGACACAGTCGGATCCAGTTCTAATGTCGCTGTTTATAGAACGAGGAATACGCACACGTCGCGCTGCACTATAACATCTAAATGTGCTAAATAATAAGTTTAATACTAATAAACAGTATTTATCTTGTTTGAGATATATAATGATGCTCTCTGAGCTAAATGAAGCTATCTGGACATTATGTAATTCAAATTATGTGATTACAATGATGCTAAACATATTGCGTGTTATTAAAGTTGAAAATGAAGACATCAGGTTTAATTTTTATTTTTTTTATTTATTAAACACCACAAACTGTATGTCACACAAACACTGATAATTAAACTGAACACACTATTAAAAACAAGTTAACTGAACTGTAAACTACATTAATGAACTGGACTCTTGTTTTCATCCTGGATGTCCCATGTTGTTCATCTGGCTCGTTCAGGCTGTCACTCCTTTGATTAATGCAGCTTAAAACATTCAATGGATTGAATAAAAGAACTGAGGGGGGTTTTAAATAAATAGTTCATCCAACATCTCTCTCTTCGATGTCCTCCTGCACTGCACTTGGGCCGAGCCTCGTTCAGAACCGGTCCGCCTGGTGGAAGACAGCTTCTTCTTCTTTCAGGAAAAATAAAAACTCAGTTGGTTGTTTTGTAGCCGAAGTAAACACAAACTAACATTATTACGAACGTTGATTTACCTGCAATAAATCAGTTACTGATTATCACGGAGTAAAGTCCGACATCGTTGACTCGGTTCTGGTCCACTCAGCGACCGGTGTGGAGCTGTTAGACGAAGTGATCTCGCTTGGTGTCAAATCTGTTGACTCTTATCCAAAATCCAGCTTTAACTTGTTATTAAGTTGTTGTTTGCTGAGCTTTTAGCCCAGAGGAAAAGAGCGTGGCGAGGCAGCACGCATGCACATTAAGTTAAAGTACAAAATTCATAGCACCAACCAATGACCGGGCATGGTAACTACAGCGGATTCGGGAGGGCTGGGGGGATTCCTCCGGATGCATGTAAACACAAAATCCGACCGTGTCAACGCAAATATTTTCCTCTAATTAACATACGAAAAAAACATATGTTTCCCCCCATCGTGTCCGTGTAAATAGGGCCTTATATTTAAGAAGCTTCTTTGACATTAAATTAAACAAATGAAACAATTAATGATAATTTTTTACAAAGGAAAGATGTCTAACAAAATGCATGATTTTAAAAAGGGACTTTAAACTAATCATGAAATCATAATTATATTTTGAATATTCTAATGGTACCAAGGGGTTGTCAGTGCACTGAAAAGATATTTAATTTATCTCACCAACCACAAAAAGATCAACTTATAAACTAAAATTAACTACAACAACTAAAATTTGTCTCTGCAGATGAGAAAATGTTGCAACAAGCTAAAATAAAATTTTTTAATTTGATGTGATCGTTAAACGAACATAATGTACAAAGAGTATGTTAATGTTGACTTTTCATTTCTCACTATATCTATTGTATTTTTTTTCTACAGGACAGGTTGGACGATCGACGACTCAAGTGAACTATATTACCTGTCTAATCTATTGTCTAATCTATATTTCTGTTCCATTTCAAAGCTGTTTAAATGTTTGTTACACTGATGTTTTTGACTGCATGATGAATTATTGTGATATAACCAAAGGACATTTTTTCCTGCGCATGCGAAAAAACTGTTGAATAGAAAGATGAAAAGATAGGGTCAGTTAGAAGCTAGGTTTATTGTTTCAGCTCCTGAGTACAAAAAGGATCCATAAAGCTGTTCTATCCTGATACTTCCACTCAGTTAAGTATCAAACACACAAACACACATTAATACACTGAAAATCATGGCTGTTGAATCAAATGAACTAAAAGTGTTTCTTAAAACAAACAAAGTGGTGGAGAAATATTAATGCTAAAACAATAATTATTTGGTAGAATGAATGTGTTGTATTGTATTCGCTTGTTCTTTTTACATATATTTTAAGCAGGAAATGACTGCAAGCCATGTTTAGCAGACCAAAGGCACTGCAGAAGCAGAGAAGCATCTGTTGGAGAAATAAGAAAATGCCCAAACGGTTGATTCAATTGAATGACTCAATATAAGCATGAAATCTAAAAGTTAGCAAATCCTTACCACTACTAACCTTAACAAATGTCTACACACATGAACTGCATGAAAATGCACAGTCACACAATCACTGCATTAAAATGATAACAGGGAGGTGAATGACATTGAAACTATAACAGGGAGGTGGATGACAAGCAAAACTTTGAGTAGCTACAGCTTAATTTTGAAAACTATTAACACAACAGCTTTTATATTACGCAAACAGCTTTTCACTAAGATATTTCACCAAGATATTTCATTAAGCTATTTCCTTAAGCACGAATTAGGATGTTACAAAAGAAAAGGAGAAGGGAAGCAATTTTCATTACAGGTGCTGAGAAAGGAGATGAGTGGACGCCAAGGGTTTCCAAAAGGAAGTGACATGACACAAGGCGTGAGGGTCCATACCAGAAGGTCGAAGACAAGCTGCACCTACTGCAATCAACATCGAGGGAAGCTCAATATGATTTCCATCACAAGTTCAAGACGACTCAGGACAGTGTTGCTTCAAAGATAAACATTGAACCTGATACTGAGAGAAAGGCAGAAAATGTCTGACCTATTGTATAGAGATTAAGGACTTGGTAATAGTTCCTCAAAATCCTATTCTGTCCGACCATTTTTTAATAACCTTTGAGTTTACATTAAATGACTACACAGTCACTGAGAGTAAATTTCATCTCAGCAGGTGCTTATCAGAAAATGCTGTAACCAAATTTAAACAATCTCTTCCATCAATGTTTCCTCTGTCTTGCAGAGTAATGCATCAGAAAACAGAGACTTGGATCATCTAGTTGATCATCTTACAACTTCAATGCAAACTTCACTTGATAAAATTGCTCCACTGAAAAAGAAAGTAATCAATCAGAGGAAACTGGCTCCTTGGTTCAATTCTGAGTTACGTACTTTAAAGCAGCATCTAGAAACCAGGAGAGAAAATGGCGCTCTATTAATGTTGAAGAATTTTATTTAACTTGGAAAGATAGTCTGCTAACATATAAAAAAGCTCTCCGTAAAGCTAGAACTTTTTTTATTCAACCTTTATTTAAACAGATAAATCACATTGAGCCTCGAAGACTCATTTACAAGTGAGACCTGTTTGGACAGACAAAAACAGTGGTTAACTGGACACAGGTAGGAGTTGGAGGCGAAAAAAATTCATATCAGACTTTTTTCTTGGTTGAGAAAAAACCCTAATATTGAAAAAACACCTCGCACAAACAAGCACATATTTACGTAGACATTCTGCAGTAGAGCAGAGCAGGAAGAAGGAAGAGACGAGAGCGGTCAACAACGCCTACAGATGCTCTCGAGGTCACTGTAATCAGTCAATGTCCTCTTGTGAGATCCATAAACATTCTCGAGGTATGTCGAGGAATGGCCAAGAATAACCCATGAGAATCCTGAGTCCTGAAATGATGACACAAAGTTTTTTCAGCTGGGTTTCATCTGGTTATCAGTTGGAAATTCCTCAGGGAGGGGGTGGTGAGCGTCAGATCACATGTTCTCCAGGCGAAATTCAGATAAGGTGGCCTTCAAGGACAACCAAGGTGACCAAAATTTAGATGAACACACCGTTGTTTTGGGGACAGGCAGAACTTAATGACATCTGCCTTGAGTCTGTTTGGTCCACTCGGTTTCGAAATGTCCAAAATAACATGACCACACCGATGGAACATGACTGAGTAAAATTCCCCAAGATCTGATCTATTCAGCCCAAAGCATTTGAGTCCGGGTACTTGAGACATGAAACCAAACCATCATAAAGGCAAGCAGCATAATCGGGTCCAAATTTGCTGCTGACGACTTCCTTGATTGCAGATAAAAACCAGGATCAGCTGAATCCAAAAAGCAGGAACCAGTTATCGTGAATCCAATTAAATATGCGTCCTTAAAATCCACAGATGGCAGCAGACATAGACACATCATCAAGTCTTCCAGTCGATGAGATATCCAGCTGCGTACGTGCCAACAGGGCAAATCGGCTCGCCCAAAGCCTGTCTTCTCTCGAAGAAATGCTGTAAATTGAGTTGAGGGACCAACTGGTCAGAACAAGTCCATAATTCCAAGTCCATAACTTTATATTACTCATCTTTAATAGAGGAGAATAAAAATAACCCTAGGTTTCTGTTTAGTACTATTGCTAGACTAATTAAAAGTCCCATTTCTGTTGAACCATGTATCCCTACAACTATAAGTAGTGATGACTTCATGAGATTCTTTATAAATAAAATTGTTTCAATTAGAGAGAAAATTCAAACCATCCTTCCTTCTACTATCTCTAGTCCCCTGTCAAATGAGACAACTTTAAAAATGTCATTAAAGCCTGATTTATGTTTGGACAGTTTTTGTCCTGTTGAGCTCTGAATTGTCAAAAATAATAACCTCATCCAAACCATCCACATGCCTGCTAGATCCCATCCCAACCAGACTATTTAAAGAGGTATTCCCCCTAATTAATGTCCACATTTTGGATCTACTTAATTTGTCTTTAATGGATGGTTATGGGGCAGCACGGTGGCGCAACTGGTAGAGCTGCTGCCTCTCAGCGAGCAGGTCCTTGGTTCAAACCCCAGTCCAGGGGCCTTTCTGGGTGGAGTTTGCATGTTCTCTCCGTGCATGCGTGGGTTTTCTCCGGGTGCTCCAGTTTCCTCCCACAGACCAAAAACATGCATGTTAGGCTGATTGGTAACTCTAAATTGTCCCTAGGTGTGAGTGAG